AGTCGAGAACAGAAGATGCAGAGGGACGGAAACTAAAACGATAAGAAGCTATGTGTGAGAGAGACTTCTTGATATTCGTTATATCATTAACGAAACGTTAATAACATTGTACTGAATCAAGGAAAGGGAAATTATCGCAGTTATCACCGTTTGTTGCATCTACTCGGCAACAAATTCACAGTCTATCTTCAACAAAGCGTCTGCACTTGAAGAAAAGAAAAATTTGTTCATTCATCGTCGTTATATTAACTACGGTAAAATTCTATTACTGCGAATCTAAGCATTAGTTCCAAGAAATATTATCATATAATTTCGCTAAAAAGCCTCTGTAATTATCACGCTTATAATAAATTAAGCGATGTGACGCGAAAATACTAATAAGAAAGTGACTTGTGATCTTTGACAGATCATTAATCTGAATGTATATATGTTCTTCATCCACCGTTAAAAAATCAAATATTTTATAAGCTGCGTTCCGTTATTCACTGTGAGTATGAAAATTTGTAGTATACGTAACGTAAATTATTTCAGTACTAACAGTGAATAACACAGCCATAATAAAAGGTTACAAATATTCATAATATTATTATAATATTATGAATATTTATATAACATTATTATATAAAGAATACGCGATACACAACGATACGAATTTTTATAGTAACATTTTGCAATCCAAGTGTTCAAGCTATCTCTTGAAAGAATTAATACTTTTCATTAATATTTTTCATATATAGGGTGGGGCACCTAAAACAAAACACCGGAATATCTCGCAAATTAAACACGGTAGGGAAAAATGTTTCAAACAAAAATTATATAATTCAAAGAGAGACAAATAATGATAAAATCATTTTTTTTTTTCGATTTTTCAAGATCACATGGAGATTACCTCCACTTCTTTTAATAGATGGTATGATTTTTTTTACACAATATGGTTCCTCTAATTATTCTGCATATAAAAGTAATAAGGTAGTGATATCAAAAAACCAATAGTTTACGAGATATTTTATACTTTATTATGGCAATATTAAATAACTCGTAAATTATTAATGTTTTAATAATCGTACCTTAATACTTTTATAAACAGAATAATGAGATGAATCAATTGGCGGAAAAAAAACATATATAGTTGCTTATTTAAAAAATTATCCATTTTGCATAGATATTTTTTTAAAGCAACTACATTTTTTTTCCTTCAATTGATTCATCTCATTATTCACAAAACCGTGCAAAAATACAAGACATTGCAATCGTATGAAAATGCAGCTCGTATTCGTTATAGCAGACAGCTCTTATTAAAACAAATAGAGGACTCAACGACTCAACTTGTGAAGATCGCCAAAACGACGGCAATTCGTATCTGCGTATCATAACAATTTCTTATCGCCCTTATCAACGATATATGTATATTCAGTATAACTGAACGCAGTCTACGATAATCGTTCCTATTTTTACTGTCAAGGCGGTTTACCAGAAGGTTCGCTGCTATCAGGCCGACCTTCGTATTACCGTGGAATGTTAATTCATTCGTGTCATGTATCGCCTCGAGAGAAACAACCTTACAGACCATCATCATCAACCCTCGGAAAGCTCCCCAATGCAAAACGCAAATATAAAAATGGTGCACTCGCAAAATGCAACCACACGCAAGTGCAACAAATTGGATAATGAACACTTGTGTGGCCTTCTCGTGAAATGTTGCGAGAACTTGTATGCAGGTTTCGCACGAAACTTTGAAAATTTAAAATACGCAATAATCGATCACATATGTGAAGAGAATAATATGCGTTTACAGTCTTATTATATTGGAAGAATCATTTTTATCAAATCTCAATAAACTTTTTTATAAGTTGAATGGATAAGATTTTATTATCACATTAAAAATATGTTTTAAATGTAATATTTTTATTTACCATTGATTTGGTTTGTCCCGTAGATGTCTTCGACTCATCTTGGATTCCGTCTTGTGTCATGATCACTTTCCTTCGCAAAACCGATTCGAATATCGTGTATCGATCGAATCTTTTTCATCCAAAAACTTGCATGTACCGCAGTGGAACTTAGTGACTCCAGTGACTCCGTGCCAATATCACCGGTAATCGTAGAGTTCCGAACAGACCATCCAGTATATTTGTGATCCATTAAACATCGGAGAATATTATTTACATCAATGCGATCGAGCGGTAAGATTTATTCTGAAAGATCAGATTTACTTCTGTGTCTTAACTTGCACGCGAGTTTACAATATGGACAAAAGTACATATCATAACGTTTCGCTGATAACGACCTCACATGAACAAAGCCAATACACAATACAATACAATTTATAAGCCATATTGTTTGCGCACATTTTTCGCTCGTGATTGTTTTAAGAGAGTTCTCTTAAAACTGTCTGCTTCATGTGGTGTTTGTTTTCCTTCGGATTTCTCGCGCCGGCAATCGATGCCGGTACCAATATCGATAGCAACACGGAATTTAAATCGAATGTATCGCTATCATAAAACTCGAAAAGCCGATTCCTGACCGATACCGAGAAACCTTTCTTACGGTTTCTCGAAAACTGTTTCGTTGCAAAAATGTCACGAATTTTTACAGCACGAGTCATTCCGAGCTTAACAGGATTCGGATATCAATCTTCGATTTTGGAGAACGTTTACTGTACTTTACGAAGATTTAATTTGTTTTTTTTCTTCTTGCTCGTAGTGCATCTCTCGCGAGATGTATCGGGCTCTCTTTGAAATTCAGAGCGACAAAGTTGCGAAGGTGCCGTGGAGGAGTTGAGAAGAACGTATGCGTGAAAACAGAGACAAGAAAAGGAGCCGGCACGACCGGCCGGCTCTTACGTACACTGACTTCTGACTGGTCGAGAGCTAGTAGGTGACTCCGGGAACCCCTACCATATCGCATAGCAACCGCTCGTAAGGCGACTGATAACTGTTTGTACTTCGTCAGGCATCGACAGATCTCGCCGAACAGACGTGTGATGTACTGTACATGTACGTACAAATACTCTATAAAAAAAAAAAAACAAGATTTAAACAAACAAGACGTTGAAAACTGGTGTACTGGAGTAGAAACTTTGATCAATTTGACGGACTGATCGGAAATAATGTATAGACGCAATAGGAGAACTGGACTTTGTGTCTTATAGTTAGAAAATACAATCTAAAGTTTAGATCGAGAAATAGAAAGTTTTTTTTATCTAGAAATTATCAAATAAAAAATTTAATACTTTTTTTATTCGGAAATATAACGAAAATGCAATATTTGATTGTAACAATATTTTTTTATTTTCATCGTGTCAATCTTTTAATATTTGGACCTTCAAAAGCGTATATTTAAGACCTTAGAATGTGGGATTTTTTATAATATTGTTCCAATCTCTCTTTGATCAAATTTCTTCCTTTTTTTAGAGAACTCTTGAGATTCTAAAATATCTTTTAATAATATTTAATTTGGAATAACTAAATGCATCATTTGATTGATTGAGTTGTTGAAAAATTCATTAGCAAATTATTCAAGGGTTAATCAAATCAACCCATAGTTGTGAATTTATATCATTATTGTACGAGATGTTAGATGCATCTCGGGAGATGCGAAAGAGTCGATCCGAAATAAAATGTTTTCCGACACTTTTAGATAGAGAAGAGCGATCGAGAAATGGCGCGTCCACTTTCGTTGCACGCATCCATGCCTGAAATCACGTACACACCCAAGAGATGGTATAGTGCACAGGTCGTAAATCGGAGCGATACGGCTCCGATTTTCAGCCGCTTCGCAAGGCGGCGTATGTCGCCAATAATAATTATTTTCGTATACGTGTTGTGCACGCGGAAAACAAAACAAGATAAAATATGTACATACGTTATGTATCCGGCGTGATAAAATGTTGCAAGAAAATGCTTGCGCTTGAATCTTTTGGTATCACTCGTGACAAAAGATATCGCGAATCAGTAATCGAGAGAGAGGAAAAGAAGTAAAAGAGAAGACGCGTAATATTATTAAATTATGTGGCAGTTTTACTTCCTATCGCAACATTGACCTCCTCCTATTGATCTTATCGTTATTATTTTCTCGATTTCCATAACAAGTTAAAACGTCTATGTACCAACTATGTCTATGTACCACTTCCGGATGTAACTGTATCCAACCCACGCCGACCTGTATTGAATCTAAATATCTATTCTCGTTTTAAGGCTAATTTTTTTAAATAAATATATATACAGGGTGTTTGGCGACTACCGCATTTTTTGTCATACGTGGGTAGAACAGCCTATACTGAATCAAAAAGTCCTGTACCATTTTG